AAGCAATGGAGTCGTTTGTCGATTAATTTTTAAGTACGATGGAGCGAAGCTGGTGAACCGAGTGAACCAAACGTAATAGCCACTGCGACGAGTGCTTGTAAAGATTTCGAGAAAGAATGATCTGGTCAATACAGTACATTTACCTGAGACAATTGTGTCGTTAAGATATTTCACAAAATAACAATACTCCTGATGTAACACAACGCTTTTGAAGTAAATTTCGATCACTTTAGCAGCAAGAAATTTATTTATATACTCGGCTCTTTTTCTAAACAAAAGTCTCGACAGTCATTGTATTACGATATTCCGTCCAAATAAATTGCGAAATTTGTTACATCTCGACACACCCGCACGCACGCAAAAATCCAAAATTTTGAAATACAGACAACCACCATTATTTAAATAGTTCTTATGGAACGATATTTCTGTACTGAAGCAATTTTGCGGGGTATTCGTGAGACTATTAATCGCGGTAACGTCAATCGCGCCACTTTTAACACACACGTCGGGGCTCAAAGGATCAAAGTAGCTAATTGACACAGCGGACCACGGTATTACGTATTCCGGTACCATACACGGCGGCGAATAATATTAGCGTGCCCGGAGACTGCCAGCTCTATGCTATGAGTTACTTATGAAATCGTGTCTGGTGCAAAGAGGATTTGTAATCCCGTCCGCTATCGTCAACAAAAGCCTGTTACGCCACCCGCTGAGATTCGTCCGTCCTGGCCCCCGCGTGGATTCGTAATACGCACGCACGTCTCTCCGTATGCATCCACGAAGCGGCGTATTACATTAGGGAGGAGAGGCTGCAAGACTCTGCGGTTTCTTGTACTCGTACGATAATTAACAGCCGGCGGCAACTTGGAACTTACAGCGAACCGACCGACCCGTCGCCCTTAGGGGGCGGCGAAACCATTTCGAGATTTGACGCACTGTGAAACTCTGTTTAGCGTTAATTCGATTCCGCAAATCGCGGAAGTTGCGTAAGTTCCCACGGTCGGCGGCTGAAGAGTTCAAGCCGGTGGATCAGCAATCGGCGAATCAGTGGTCGGAAATGTTCAAACTCTCTCGCCGCCCCGCGCTCGCGCTCGGCTTTTGATTAAATTTCATCAACGGACGAAAATGGCTGCGCGGAATATGCGAGACGCCAAAAGCGACACGCATTTGAAATATTACGCGGCATATATTTTATGGGAGCACCAAATTGGAGTGAATATTTATTTTGTAAATAAATATGATTCTATAAATAAATTCAATAAACACAATGATTCTATAAATAAATTTAACAAATACAAACTATTAAAAAAAACCATTTTAAAAAGCCACGTCAATAAATATTTATTTGGACTTGTCCATCTAACGTCCACCGCGAATGTTTTTTTAAGAATTATTTTTCCTGGAATTTCGAGTACCTTTCCTCTACATTGAAAAAGTATAAAAGGACATTATAAATGATAACGCGCGCGCTAGATATACTCACACACTTTATATGTACGTCAATCGTGGTAGCCTTAATACGAAGTGGCAACAAGATACTCCGAGGAAAAGTTATTAAGTCAACATATCATTGCGACCCCAATAAAGAGCGGGAGAGAGAAAACTAAATTAAAGGTAAATTTATTTTGCACTAATATACTTGATTTCTATATAACACCTCGGAACTGTAACTGCGTAATTTGAATTAAGCGAAATAACTGTCGTAACGACAAATTAATTTTTTAATTAATTCGGGGATCGAAAAGCAAAGCGCATTTCAGCAGAAGGAGAAATCAATCTCTCCTTAAGAAACCGAAATAATCTGTGTATTAAGTAAACTTGATCGAAAAGTATAAAGCTTTGTTAGAGTCAGCACGCGTGAAAGGCGCAATTATGTCGACGTTGCTAGAGAAGATAACGAAGCCATTTATTACGGTGTTTGCGGGAAACAGTCCAATCAAATTTCATTATCCGCGCTAATTACGGCCAAAGAAAATTTATGGAAGCATTCACATCAATGCGGTCGGACTCCGTTTATTCTTATAAATGCTTTCCTTTTAAAGCACATCGCTTGCTATTTTCTATATCTGCCTCGCGAGCGATTACTGTACATTCTCATTCTTCCACCGTGTTGCATATTATAAATCCACAAGTTCTTTGTTATTCCTGCGCGCAATTGTCTCCCAATAATGCGCCGATATAACTTTCGTTCCTCGCGAAAACATTAAAGAAACGAAGATATCAATTCTCCAGGATACCAACTAACTTTTACTCCACATCAATTACCTTTGTTCGTAACGAGTTTCAAAGTCCTACATAAAATAGTGCTTAAATTTTTATCAGCATTTCGTTACTTCTAGCATATTGCGAACTTCTTTTCTTGTTCTTGCGCTTTACTGACTTAATATCGCGTATGCGGGCAAGAATTAATGGAGCTCAATGTTATCCGACGAAATACGTACCCGTCGTCAGTAACTCTAAGCGAGAAGTATCCGTCGGGGAACTATTTTCGAAAGATACGCAAAGAAGCGCCGTGAAACGGGCGCATTTTATCACTTCGCGCCGAGCGCGTCTGGTTACGAATAATAAAAATACGGTCATACGATAAAAAGCTTTATTCCCTCACAACGGGGAAGCATAAATCTCGGATTAAACCCGCGGCAGAGAACCGGATCGCTTTCGCAGCCGTGTATATGCGGTTCGCGGCGATTACGCGGCAACCGAAATTGTACTTGAACCAAATTACTCGATAGGCGGAGAATACGTCTCTGCCTGTGCGCGCGGAACGGGTTAAGCGTTGATTACTCGTCATTTGGCTGGGTGCATCGCGACACCGACTCAGGGAAGCCGAACGTCGCTGATCACAGGCGCCGCCGCGCCGTTGGAATACGCGATATTCGATATTCAATCTGTGCTCATATACGAAGCACCGGCGCACATCGCGAATACGCCGGGGGTGTAATAAAGTAGTTTTCGCAAATCGGCTGATACTACACCCCGCTCTACCTCAACGTGTGCGCTCGTTTATTTTCGTTTTTTTTTATCCTCGTGAAAATTGGTCTCGTTAATCTGATAAATCCGCTCTCGTCAATATTGTTCGGTAACAGATATTCCCGTTGTTATTTGCTTTCGCGAAAGTCCCGGAGAAGCCGTCGACGAGCGCGTGAACGCGCCAGGATCTCGGCGAAAGATATATTTAAGGCATCGTTGCAGATCGCGTTAATGTATGACGCGCGTGTAGCAACCGATTTATACCGTTATACGGCAATCGATGAAGCAGTTGGCGTGACTGCGAGTCACGAATACTCGACTAACAATGAATAATCGAATATTCTTAATATAACGATAGGTCAAAAGATTACGAGTCGTGTGGACGAAAATACCGCGTATAACGTTTTGCATAATTAACGATTGCGATAGTAATATAACTACGAGTGGACTCGTAACGGAGAGAGAAAGGGAGGATGGGTGATAACGATTGGAAGATCGGTTTAATCGGAATAGACCAGTTAACTTGAAAATAACGGCGTTGCTAAAGAACGTAATTTCTAGACGAAATTTTATATGGAATTAGCAAGTGGTTTTAGATAAATTCAATTGTGTGCCGGAGGGTTCAACATAACTCATCGTCGTGATGCGAAACGAATGCAAATCCTTTACGTAAGGGCGCTCGATCAAAATATCGGTGGAAATAACGATCGATATATACGATTTCCCGAATTATGCAATCCCTGATAATGGCACTGGCGTTACTGTGAACGGCCATGACCGCAAAATTGCCCAATTCGGATTCGCACGTAGGATTCGCTTACAGCGGGGCGAGCCCTTCGTCGACGTTCGCAAATGCTAAGGAGAGACATTGCAAGAAAACACACCCTCAGAAAGGGTGACACAACCTCATTTGGTATAAAAATAACACGATATCAAAATAAAACCAATAATTCTTATTCTCCTCTATCGAATTAAAAAAGATTGACCCACTATATTGAGACAAGAGTAACTTATACAAATGTAAGTTTATATATTGCGTTTAGAATAAATTTTCCCTCCGTCTTAAGCGTCGTCTACAATAACCGGCGTAAGCGTGGAGTAAGAAGTAAGAGTAGGCGTAAGAGAGCTACTTCCGGTTTAATAGAGCTGGAGTAAGGGAGTAAGCGAAATGAATTATTTTTATTTCTTACGCCTACTCTTACTCTTACGCCTTTTCACGCATGCCTACAACACCTACTTCACCGTATTGTAGATTGAGTCGGCGTAAACAGCTTACGCCAAAAACGTTACTCCTACTCTTACTTCTTACTCCACGCTTACGCCAGTTATTGTAGACGACGCTTTACAACGCACCAAGTTGGCACCGCAATATTCGACAAAAGACGATACATATTTTATCATTTTATTCTAGATTTTAGGATGTTTCTTAAGATTAAAATATTCCTTTCTTTATAATAAATATGATTGGCGCTATATCGATCCTATTTTATGATACATTCAAGTGTAATAGCATTGGATTCGGAAATTTTTCCTGTGGGTGCAGGATTAAGAACGTTAAAACAGCTAATGATTTAACGTATAAATTCAGAAAGGGACAAACGTTTAGCAATTCGCAGAGAAAACTTCTCTGTGGATCAAGTCGCGGGCGAATATCAGATCCGCAAGATTTAGATAACGAAGAGATTTAAGCTCATTAAGTTCAAAATTATATCAAGATATTTCAACTTATTCCCTCATAGTTTAGAGTTCATATAACGTTATACCAGTTATTTAATCCTACGGAAATCGCTTACGACTAAATCAATAACTTTCCCGTGTCTTCTATACACAATTTATTTTTATTTCACATATGTAACACATATGTACGGTACACTTCGTTTCGATCTTCATCGTTTATGCGATAAGAAAATCACAAAGAAATCCAAGTTAAAATTCTACCATCAATTGTCACTGAATTTTTGTCAAGCGGATGTTTGGCGCAAAAGAATTAATTCTTACGAAACAAGTAACACATGTGACCAAAAACTTACCCCACGGTTGCTTCGCCGTCGCCCGCAGCCTCCCAGGACCTCGACCTCCTCTCAGGTGTCTTCGTTGCGTCGCACAGCACAATATTCACTCGAAAACACAGTTAATTACGATCGCACGCACATCGATCTCGAGAACACACTCGATCGCGCCCGGCACTCCCGCCAGCGACAATCGCTAATTCTTCACGGAAAACGAACGCATTTCAAAGTTGTATTACACGATTGAATAATTCTCTTACAAAAATCGGTACGTCACGCGCGATAGCGAACGTGCAAAGAAGTAATATTCCTTCGCGAGGAATAATTGTGCTACTCACACCTGTCGCGACTGCGTCCCGAAAGACAATAACGCGACGAAACACGGAGCACAACCTGCCGGCTCGAGGCACGGAACGTGAATGACTGCGTCTTTACTACGCGAGAAAAACAAACAACAAGAAACTGCGTACCGACCGTTGAATTATTTCCAATTTTGATACTCGCGTTAATACGCGTTAAACTTGAACGAGACAACGCCAGAAAAATTGAGAATTGCTAGTCGAAGATTAAAATTTGCCTAATCGGATTAGCTTAATTTTAATACATTTTGTTTTAATTTCGTTTCAATTAATTCAGGTCTAATCTCCGACGTATAACCCTGATACAGGCTTTATTTGTTCGCAAGAAATGAAATTGATTTACAATACTTATCGCGGCTGCGTCCTGAAAGACAATAACGCGACGAAACACGGAGCGGCGCGTGGCACAACCTGCCGGCTCGAGGCTCGGAGCGCGAATGACTGCGTCTTTACTGCGGAGAACAAACGTCGTGCACCGACCGTTTTTAATTTCTAGCTTTGATATTCGCGTTTCTTGACAAATTGTAACGACGAGACGTGATATTATAAGCGTGTCTGAATAAATTGAAATGTTCTGATCAACGCGCTACGACGCTCGTTAAAAAGCGCGTGTTCGACTGACAGAAGACGGGAGGCACGCATTGTAAAACGTGTCATAAAGACTGTGTCAAATAAAATTGCGTTATAATACTTATCGCGACTGCGTACCGAAAGATAATACGCGACGAAACACGGAGCGACGCGCGGCACGTCCTGCCGACTCGAGGCTCGGAGCGCGAATGGACTACTACGCGTACGCGGAAAACAATTAAATGCCGCGCGCCGACCGTTATCTTCAGTTTTGATAGCCGCGTTTCAAATGTTAGACTGCATTTACATTTGTCGTACAACACATTTTTTAAACGCGTTGATTGGCTGTAGGATAGTAAAATTTTCGTGTATCTAGAAATTTTCTCTTGTGTAGTGAACACGCTTAAAAAATTTGCCGCGCGGCAAATGTAAATCCAGTTTTACAATGCGTGGTATCGTAGTGCTGCGTGTCGCTCCACGTCGCGCTATTATTTTCAGCATGCACTCGCGGACTGAAACAATAATTAAAAACGTTTACATTGGTTTTCTCTATTTTGAATAATTATAGATACTATAAGCATACGTGAATATCAATTATTTCCTCAGTGATTAAACCTATTGTTTTAGGAGTGACGCAATTATTACTCGCGAAAACGAGCAAAGCCTGTATGAGATTATACAGGCCGAGTGATCGGATTAGTTTAATTTAGTCGTTAATTTTCATTTTAATCGTTTCGTTTTAATCGGTTAATTTCTAGTCTTCCATTCGCAATTTTCCATCTTCAATGCGTAATCCGACACAGGCTTTATGATACGTTTCATAATACGCAACCCTCGTCTTTTCTCAATCGAACACGCGCTTTTTAACGTGCGTCGTAACGCGTTGATCAGAACATTTGCATTTCCTCGGATACGCCTATATCGCGTATCTTTATTACAATTTAGCAAGAAACGCGGATCAAAGTTAGAAATAAAAAACGGCCAAAACATTGAACTAAGCAGACTAATCGACTTCTTATAATCTTCCATTCGCAATTCTCTATTATCAGTGCGTAGTCCGATTCGCGTTTATCACGTCTCGACGCGGTTATAAAAACTGGAAATAATGTAACGGTCGGCGCGCGGCAGTTTGTTGTTTTCCGCGTAGCAAACTCCTAGTCATTCGCGCTCCGAGTCTCGAGCCGGCAAGACGTGTCCGCGCGCCGCTCCGTCTCGCGTCATTATTTCTCGGGACGCGATCGCGATAAGTATTGTGAGAAGCTCAATCACTTCTCGCGAACCGTATCAGACTATACGTTGGTAATTAGAAATCGATCAATTAAAACCAAATCGATTAAAATGAAACTAATCCGGCCGGTCGGATTCTAATCCTCAATTCGCAATTCTCTATTCTCAGTTCGTAGTCCGATCCAAGTTGTAAAGCCGGTATCACACTAGCAGCTGCCGACGACAACCCGACTGGTGATTACGATTGCGATTGGCAATTCGTCAATCACATTGAATTAAGGATTGGCAATTACGATTGTAGTTGCCATTTTCCATTGACATTTGTGACAAGTAAAAAAATTATACGATGTATCGTATGCAACAGCGACATTGGCGCAATATGTGTAAGCGACGGAAAATATTTTTTATGTCAGTGCGAGAATATTTTGGATGAGATACATCCCAGAAAATTGGTCGATTTTTTATCTCACATATTAAAGTAAGTTCCAGATCTTTTGTCCACATATCTTTATTTGGACCCATTGTCACTTACCTGAGCATTAATGTACGCAATGTATGCAGAACTATACAGAACTAAACAAATCCTCATGTGATTCACATACGAACTCTCATTGGCTGCGACTACGATCAGCGACTCGAAAAATAGAAGGCGTCCTATTATCTAATCGCCAATCGCAATCGCTAGTTGTTGTGCTCTGATTGGTGGATTGCCAATTGCAATCGCAATCGCCAGTCGGGTTGTCGTCGGCAGTTGCTAGTGTGATACCGGCTTAACGCGTATCAACGCGAGTTTCACAGTTGAAAGTAACTGAACGATCGGTATGCAGTTTTTTTTATGTTTGCTTCACCGTGTACGACGCCGAGTAAGGACAAAGTCACCGCGCGGTCATTCGCGCCCGAGCCTTCGCGCCGGCCGGCAGTGCCGCTCCGTGTGTCGCGTTTATATTCTCTCTTTCTCTCTCTCTCTTTCTCGAGACGCGATAGTGACAAATATTTTATACTCCTCGCGAACGGGAACAGTTTGCTTTCCGCGTACGTGTAGCAAAGACGTAGTGTCGTAGCTTGAATCGTGCTGCGCGTCGGAGATCGAGACTAACGAGGAGTCTTGAAGCCGCCTGTCGAAACGTACGTACTTTACGCGAGTTGTTCGGTTGAGGTTAAACTGAATGAATATCGATGCGCCGCGGTTGGAATCGCTCCGTTCCGTCGCGATACTCATTATTTAGGGGCCAATTACCTTCTCAGTGCCGTTCGCATTCGTGAGCACTTACAATCGCGCCACCGCCGCCGCGTCGCCTCGTCGTCCCCTCGGAGCGTCGCGAGCCGAGTTTACGCGATTAATCTCACGCTACGCGTATTCTCTCACGTTCGCCGGCCGTCGAGGTGCAAATTCGGTATCCGTCCGCGCGCAATTAACTCACGCGTAGGCAATTAAAAAATCCACCGCCACTCGAAACGCGGTTCGTCACCGGTAACTCGCGAGGCGTCGTCAGATGTCGGGCTCGTCGCCGCGTTCCCGCCATGTTCCCCACCACTTTCCCGCGTCGCGGTGCACGTCGGTAGCGCGTACAACGATTAGCGTCGGAAAGCCGGTTAAAAATCGCCGCGCGACGCGCAATTAACCTATTTTCGCGAGAAGTGTTGTGCAAGGGGGGGGAGGGGGAGCAAGAAGAAACGGAGAAACGAAAGGAGGAGATCCAGGACGGGTGGCAGGCGACGACGGAGCCGGGGGGTGAGTGAGTCTCTCAGGCGCTTTAACCATCGCCTGCGGGGAGCGAGTCGATCGCTTCGCCGCGCGCGACGAGTTTTCCCCACCCGAGCAATTGGCTGTGTCTTGCCAAACCTCTGCCTCTGCTTAGCTAAGCGCACGCAAGCGGCGAGCGCTTGCTTACAAATATTTGGCTGGACAGAAGCGCTGAGGCTGCGTTAAAGCCTCCGCTACAATGATTCTCGGTTCTGTCTACAATGGTCGTACAGTTGTATCGATGGTCGCTTGAGTAGTCGCAAAGCAGTCGTAGGTAGTCGCTCGAATAGGTTCAATTCCTATTCCAACGACCACGACTGCGATTTATTGCCGCGACGGACCAATCAGAGAATAGTGTTATATGTCGTGTGTCATTATATGTCGAATATATCGTGGGAAAATACCTCAAAAACAGAAAATCGGTTTCAGTTATACATCGATACGACCCAATCCATGACTCTACGATTCTAAGACTGCGA